TGCCCAGGGGAAAAGAACCTGGGGGTGTTGATCAACAGCCTCCTCAACATGAGCCAGCAGCAGTGCCCAGGTGGCCAAGAACATCAATAACACCCGGGCTTGTATCAGCGTTGCCAGCAGCACCAGGGAAGGGGTTGTGCCACTGTATTCGGCACTGGTGAGGTCGCATTTCGAATTCCACGTTCAGTTTTGGGCTCCTCGCTACAAGAGGGACATTGAGGTGCTGGAGCATGTAAAAAGAAGCGCAATGAAGCTGGTGAAGGGATTTGAAAACAAGTCTTATGAGGAGCAGCTGAAGGAACTGGGGTTTTTCAGCCTGGAGAGAATGAGCTCAGGGGAGACCTTACTACACTCTACAACGACCTGAAAGGAGATTGTAGTGACATAGAGGTCAGTATCTTCTCTGAAGCAACAGGACAAGAGGAAATGGCCTCAAGATGTGCCAGGGGAAGCTTAGATGGGGTATTAGGAAAAATTTCTTCACCAAAAGGGTTAAGCATTGGAACAGGCTGTCCAGGGAAGTGGTTGAGCCACCATCCCTGGAGGTATTCAGGGACACTGGTTTAGTGGTGGACCTGGCAGTGCTGGGTTAATAGTTGGACCCAACTACCTTAAAGGTCTTTTCTAATCTAAATGATTCTATGAATGAGAGAGCGCTGAAATTTCCAGCATGGGCACAAACACGGAGTCCTAGATTTGCTTTAGCAAGTCACCATATCCTGGCTTTTAACTTCCAGGTTTTTTCCACCTTCTTGTCATCCTCCTTTGTCAGGAGTATGAAACACTGTCAGCAGTTGTGTACCTCTGCTCTGAAGGACCTGGGGGTAACATAATGACATGACCATCACTACTCCTCTAGCACACATGGCACAACAGTGCCAAGATGTCATGGTAACCCAGTGGTTTTCAACTTTTTCTGTATGGTTACTATTACACAGAAGAGAAATTTCCAGTCTCCCTGCCCTCCTTCTGGACATCTATAAAGAAATGATTTATTAACTCACTTGCTGAATGTCCATTATAGATAGATCTAAAAACTTTATGGACACAGTGAAATACTGTATCAATCTTCTGATAGATAGGAACATTGGCTTTGGCACCACTGTGCAATTTCAGGAATTTACTGGATTAAATCCTAACCATACTGAAGTCAGCAGCAAAATACTGTTCAATGGCCATGATCCATCTACCATTATTGCATGCAAGTGAAAAATCTGCCACTACTTTGGAGCAATGTTACTATGCTATTTCTGACACTTGTGATTTCTGCTTGCCACACCTGCTTAGCAAAAGAGACTCCTCTGTCTCTTCTCTAGCATGAAGAAATTGCTAGGGACTAGAGGACCTCAACGGCATTGATGAGTTCAATGGGAAAACATGTTGGGTTCGGTATTAGAAGAACCCCCACATCCCCACTGAGGAGTGGGAATAAGCTCCCCTTAAACAGGGCTCCTACAGAACAGTGATCTGCTAAAGGAAGTTAGAACAGGCTTAAGGATGCAACTGGTGCTCTTCTTCCCTCTTTTTCTTCTTGTGATCTCTCAGCAGTTGCGCAGACCGTTCCAACAGTCCATTGTCAGATGTCAACAAGGGCTGGGCTGACTGCTGGAATCCTGTGCGAGGCAACAGAGCAGCAACATTAACTTCCTTCCCTACTACACTGCTGCTAGGCAGGACAAGGTCATAAATGAAGTTTTTGTGACTTACACGGAAGTTGTAGAGATAAAACCCAGGAGACAAAGCCCCCTTCAGTCTCACAGTACAATGTATGCAAAGCAAACAGATTTTCTAAACTTTTTATGATTTCCAATGAATAATCAAATACATTCAAGCACTCTTACATAAATACGTCTTTCTCAAATGCAATAATTTTTAATTTTTGGTACAACAGACTGGGATCCCAATCTACCTATATACAAACAGCACAGAATTACAAAAAGAAAGTTTATCTAAGTCAGATTTCTTAATTTTTATTAAATTCAAAAACTGCAGAAAAAAATCACAAGTTTCTAAGTACAAATAAAAACAAATCAGCTAAAATAAAATGGTTGTCAAGGTAAAACTCAGTTGCCATAATTTTCCCTTCCTTGCTATTTTCCACAGTACCATCAGAAATCCTCCAAGTTCGTTAGAAATTGATTTCATCTTACCAATATGATAGTAAACCATAAGTTTACTATGTAAAAAACAAACCATTTAGGCACAAGGTGGCAGAAGATACAAGCACAAATATCAACCATGCTTCCTTAATTTGTCAGTTGAAATCCAGGTGTGCTCAAGACCCGCATGGTATTGTATTCAGAATGTCAGAGCTTGCTTAGTGAAACAAAGGCTCTTCGCTCTTTTCTCCCTCTTTTTTCTCTTCATGTTTACAGTTTTTTGCGTCTTTTCTCTTTCCAAAAAACAGAAGCTGTTTAAGTCAGTGGTACACTTTACTGGTTGGTGCCAGTGTTCTGGCTTAGAAGAGTGGCAGAAGTGACAAAACAGGTTCCAGCACCAGAGAATGAGAAGTAGAGAAGCTGTAGTGTGAAATAGACTGGTTCATACTCGTGTTGCCAGTGTAACTAATAGTTTGGCGACCACCTGCTAAGACAGCATGCCAAGCAGTCACATGCTATTTGAAGATATCAGCTGGGCTAGGTCATCAGCTGCTCTCCCGACAGAGCAGAGATCAAGGTGAACAACAGTCATCTGCTGCTCTTCTAACTACACCTAAAGGAACTGTCAAAGTGAAAATTAAATCATACCAAAATTAAAACATGTGTCGTTCCATATTCCAGATTCTACCTTTTACCCATCATGTGACACTTGCCATTCTAATAACAGGTGCGGTTCCACTGTCATTCATAAATACAAAATTTTATTTGCACTTCATTAGTTTAGAAAGACCACAATGCTTTTCAATACCACAACATTCAGGACACACCAAGTTATTCAAATATGTAACTACTGATTTACCACAGCTAAACTAAACAGTGCATTTTAATAAAAGATATACCAAAGATATAATTCACAAATTCATTATCAGACAAAAACCTAACACAGTATTTGCTTGATGGGAGTAATTTCCACCATTAGGAAAGAAAATAATTTTACCTTAGGTTCCCTTCCCCCCAACCCTACAGAAGTCCAGACAAATACACATATATATTCCTTAACATAGGAAAATGTATCATCTTTTTTTTTTTTTTAAAAAAAAAAAAGAATTTGTCTAGGACAAAGCAGCATTGCTTTTTATACCTTCTTTTAGAGCTTGAATATATCTTCATTCTTTTATTGAAACTTAATGATTCTTGCTACCAAGTTTATGCTTATGGAAAAAATTATATATGCTATTTCAGAGTGCAACCTTAGATCTGCACCAGGTGTTGATGTCTTGGTACACAAAGAAAGGGTGCAGCATTAAACAAAATAAATAAGAGACTGCCAGAAATTAAACTTAGCTTTTCAATAAATCCAGTCAGCAGAGGATGCTACAGCCAAAAATGTTTTTACTACATTAAAAAGAAACATAATGCTGATTATGGAAGCTTTGTACATAAAGTCCTCTGTTTTTTAAAAAATTTGTCTTTAAAATAGTTAGCAAAGCACCATATACTTATCTTCATACCAGAAGAGCTTCTGCCTGCCTGTTTATCATAACAAAGAACTATTACAACATTTATGTCAAGAATAGGTATAGATTTAATTTCTCCTCCTCCTCGACTGGAAGTGTGGCAAACCCCCACCATCTATACAGTATTTATAACACTGGGGCAATGAATGAAACATCATTGTGAGGGAGAGGGGTAATAATTAAATGTTATAGCTGAATCCTACACAGGATTGCATATTTGCATATTTACAAGTTAGTGTGTAGCTCTGACTCGAATAACAAAGTGCAACAAGAAACTGCCAAATGATTGTAGTGCAGAGTAGTACAGATACTTTCTTTACCCTCCTGCTCCTATTTTTCACTCTGTTTGGAGTAACAAGTCAACAGCAACGGACATGTGGCCTTGGAGGAGGCAGTTCTGGTGGGATTTCTGGCTCTGGTTGCAGGGACAGGATACTGTTGGACAACTCATTTCTTATAACATCCAGTGGCATCTTAAAGGAAAGAAAAATCATCTGTAAATAGTCATCTGCACAGAACTCGGCACAAAGAGCTTGTTTCAAGAGTTCTCAGTCAGCCAAAGCCTTAAATCAAGGACCTTTTGGTTCTTACTAGTGAACTACATTCCAGTAATAGTGCTAAGAAAAAGTTACAAGATATTGTCCTAATAAAGCCACTTCCTATGCCAATTACAACAAATCACAGCAGAACTGCCCGCGAATGAAAGCAGGCAAATGTACAGTCAGCTGCTGGTATATAGTGAACTTACAGGAAAGAGGAAGTACAGCAAATAGGAGCAGATATTTACTAAATTCAACAACTGTATTTATCAACTGAAGTGCTCAGCAGAGTCTGTCAACTACATCATGCCCGCTACCTATTAACTAAAAATTTCACCTGACTGTGTGCACTCGCCCTCTACGTCCTCCCAACAAGCACCTGAAGTCATTATTTAAACACCGACCATTTATGTGGTCAGAGGTACTACCGCCTGCATATTTTACCTTTTTCAGAATGTCATCAACAAGTTTTAGAAATATTTCATCCACATTAAAATTATCCTTGGCACTTGCTTCACAGAATCGCATCCCAGTTATTTGCTGTGCAAACTGGCAGAAGACAAAATAAAACAACTACATGAAGATACGTACAAACAGCAACACAAAGCAAATACACAATCCTCATAATACCTTTAAAAAAACCTCAACAAACCCACAACTGTGATCAAACCCAACAAATCTGTGACCAAAGTCTAATTTCAATAATAAACCTGAATCTCCAAGGTACAGGAAATATTGCCACACAGAGAAAATTTTCACTTAAAACTAGTTTACTGGAAAAGTATGTTGCATTTTTCCAGATGTAAATCTGAGAAGTTCATGTCTTCAGTTGACATGGATCCCCATAGATTGCAAAAAAATAAGAGCTTTTAAGAAGAATTATTCTCAACCTTATTTTTAAAATGCAGAAAAGGGAAGTACAGATGTAAGAACTAGCCTTGACTCTCTAACAGAAGATGCTTCACTTCCAAACACATGATGGGCAGCTGAAGGAAAATGTTTGTGTATGTCCATCCTGAGAGCGTCCTGATCAAGATGATGCTATGAGTGTCATGCTACAACACATACTCTCTTGTCAGGTTTCTTATCACTTTTGGAGTAGGAAGAGAACAAGGGAAACATGAGAACAAAGGTGAGCCAAATAATGAAGCAGAACTGTTGCTTGTCCTAAAGTGCTACTGAAAAGCAACGTTGGGAAGAAGGCTCACAAAGATGTTCTGGGTAGAGGTATCTCCATTTGTGACTCAAGTCTTCACTACATCCTCTTTCAGAGCCCAAAAAGGAGGATCCCCTGCACTACCGTGTAAGGCAAGCCAACTTACAGCTTACTCTTTCTTTAGATCAAAGACATACTACTTCAGCAGAAATACATAACGACACATTCTATAAAACTAAATACTATGTGAATTTTGACAGACCATCACCACTCCCAAAATGCTCCTTAGGTCTAACAGTCTGAACAAGAGCAGCCACAGATCCTCAGCAGCAGTGCCACAGCAGTTCTGCTTCTAACAGTAACTAAGAAATTGGTTAGACCTGTTCTTACCTTTTCTCCCTGCTGTCGAGTAATCTCTCGATCAACTTCACAGTCCAGTTTATTTCCAACTAATAAAAGTTCTGCATCTTCTGAAGCATACTGCAATTAAAACATTTTTAGTTAACTAAATCTAGAAATGCACGGTTTTGTAATGTAAACATGGTTCTAAAAAAGGACAATTCCTCTACTGAATGAGGAACCACACCTCACAGTTTATAATGTTTAAATGTTTCCAGACATTATTTGAAAAATTTTCAACTTTGGTCTTTAAATTCCATTTTTAAAACATTACTTGAGAACTAGCTGTTCTAGTTTATCTAAGAATTATTATAAAATGACCTTATTTCACAGATAGAAGACAAAATATTTTTTTTTCGCCAGTGCACAGGTAAATAAGAAATGTTACAGATTTCCACTGACACTTCTAACTGGGACGATTTTAGTTCAAGGAAG